TCCAGCTTTCTGTATTTTGTACCTGAAATGATTAGTAGCACACAAATGAAACATAGAATATATATAAAGTAGAGAGTAGTGAGTGATCAAACTAATAATATTTGTAATTATCAAAATACTAAGTTGAGCTCCCATATTTTAACAATCTCCCACTTTTATAATGACAAATATTATTGGTTAGAATTTAAATTTGTAAGTTGATATTTAATTCTCTGCTTAGTTCTCCACTTACTAAATGACCACTTTAGAAATTTGTGAGAAAACATCTGAATTAATTTTTTTTTCTTTTTATATTTAGTTTTTCTTGTTTTTTTTAAATTTTAAACAATATATAAAAAATACTCGATGAAACCAATACATGAATAACTGAATTTAAGAACATGATAACTTAGCTATTTATCAAAAACAATAAAAAAATAATTTTATATATCATAAGCTCTGGTAGATATTATAGTATAATATATATAATATTGTAAATCATGAGTACAATTAATAATTATATAGTATGATGTGGTTCAATCAATAGTCATTGAACTAGTTGTTGAATATTTAAATTCAAATATTGACATATATAAGCCACATACTATGTGATTTGACAATATAATGTGAATCATATAATACAACATGCCCAATTTTATTTTTTTTTATGAATAACTTCTTAAGTATAACATCTAATAATTTTTTTTGTTTTGGAAATCTAAATGTTTATATCTCCATTGAGCATATTTTAAATAGCATTAATTACTATATATGCCTATGAGATTCTCAGCAAGATAAGTTATACAAAATTATGAAAAAGCAGGAAAATATTATGAGTATTTTTAAGAAAGTTTGAAGAAAGGCTCAAATTATTCATCATCATCATCTCAAAGCTTCTTTTGGCTCTTTGGAAAGTGTTCTTCCTCATATTTAGTTCATACTATGTTGATTTTTCTTGTAATGTGTTCATCATATAATGAAATTAGATAGGGCATTGGATAACTAATATGTGTAGGTGATAAGCAATATAAACAATATTTTATATTGGAAAATAAAATATTAAAAGCAAAAATAAAATATGTTCTTTTTGTTTTTAAACTAGACTTTTCTTTCTTTCTTATTCTTTTTTTTATTTATTTATTTTATGCAAGACTATAACCAAAGATTCAACAACCGTAACTTTCACAAAGATGTGCAAGGTAAACTGAAACATAAGAAAGTAAATGCAGGAAAAAGTAAAATAAACATAAATCAAATTTTTATAGTAGTTTGGTTGAAATTGACTTTCTACTCCCCAAAGATTCTTCTATTTTGATATTTAGCTATAAAGTGCTCTTTTAACACTCAACTAGTTGGAGAAGCCATTCTCTCTTAGTAGGTGGAGAATGACCTTTACCTGATCTTCTATCCCTGAATAGTCACCCTCCTTCAGCCTCCTAGTATGGTGGAGATGTTGCTTCCTCATTCTTCTCCCTGCATAGTGGAGATGTCGCTACCTCCTACTACTCGCACTGCGGAGATGCCACTCCCTTATCCTCCGTGGCTAATAAAGTCTTTCGCTTAAAGCTTATTCTTGGAGTTCCTCTCTAAGAGCTCCACAACTACAATCTGGAGGACATAAGGTGCAGGAAGGCAGGACAACCATGTTACTCTCTCAAGGAAACACTCCCTTAACCTCATCTCTTTTTCTCAAGTATTTGGATTCTCTCACAAGCAAGGAAACACTTCTCTCTCTACAAGTCTCTCTCACACAGGAAAATATCTTTGACTACTGAATAAAATCCCTCATGTCTTATGTTAAAGAATTAAAGTGTGCTATTTAAATAAAACCTTAATTTTTAATTTAATATTTCTGATCGTACAATACGATATTAGGATTGTACTGTTCGATTATTTTAATTTTTGTCATAGATCATCTTATATGATATCGTAGTACAATCAGTTCATTAATTTTTTATAACTAAGATTTAATAGTGGGGTTTATTAAAATAACTGATCGTCCTGTACGAGTACTAGTCATAAAGTATGATTAATAATGATTCAATTTAATTTAATTGATGTAATTCAATGTGTGAATTAATAGATTTTATAGTACAATTTAATAGACAATTCAAGTATTCAACTTTCATCCCTCTAATGAGCACATGCTTGGTTTTCTAGCCAAATATATCTAATTATATAAATGACACAAGAAAAGGAAACATACAAGTCTCTTTTTAGTACAAATTGACTAGAATCAACACTACACTTTCTTGAGTCTAATTCTTTGGTCTAGCATTCTATATGTTGTACCTGAAATAATCAGTAGCACACAATTAATGAAATATTATATATATATATAT